CTTTCTATTCCACACTAAAAGAAAAAAATTGCTTACACATACGCTTTAAAACGACACCAAAATAATCTACAGCCTTCTTATATTGAGCAGATGTGAATTTATGAATACTTCTGCTTCATTGAGCTGATGTACATGAAGTGGTGCGCCTTATCAACCACATTTTTTATTTTTGTGTCTGACCTGCATATGATAAAATATGACAGCATGGTCTAATTTAATTTTCTTTTCTTTTTACCCCCAGGAAAGGTTTCAGTTCCCCGCACACTCAGACATCTCCGAAAATGCTAAGGACCTAATAAAGCGGTTAATTTGCAGCCGGGAGCATCGTTTGGGTCAGAATGGGATTGAAGACTTCAAGAACCACCCATTCTTTGTTGGCATTGACTGGGAAAACATTCGCAACTGTGAAGCACCTTATATCCCAGAAGTCAGCAGCCCGACCGACACATCCAACTTCGATGTGGATGATGATTGTTTAAAAAACTGTGTAAGTGCTGCTCAGTCTGAATCTGAAGAGAACTCTATGGAACCAAGTCTCTTTTTACTATAATACTACAACAGTTTGGTGTTCTGATGTCTCATCCAGTGTAGTAGGCATTAGCGGAGTAATAACAGCTTAATTGCTACCTTAATTTCGCTTTCTGTCTTTCTGGATATTTTCCGAAACGCAGCTTACTATCTATTCTTGTATTGCACTGAAGAGACTCAGGCTGTCTCCTATGGGCCTAGAATATCTGTTAATACAAAACAAATAATAATCATGATGTATGAAAAAATTTTATTTTTAAAGTGTGAAAAATGTGAGTTTGTAAAGTGTATAAATATAACTTTCAATGTAGGTTTCTTTGGCCTTTTTAAAGAAGCAAACTGAAAATAAAGGCTGATTTGTTTACGAGGTTGTAAAGGCTAAAGGTTTTTTTTTACCTTAATGCATTCTCTGCATTAAGATAAAAAAAACCTTTTAATGTCCGATACCCACCTCCTTCCCAAATACTTACCTGAGCCCTATCTCAATCCACCACTGTGCCTGAGAGCATATTTTAGTTGTATTTGGATTTAGGTTTAGATTTAGGCTGAGTTTGGCTTGGCTGCTCCAATGGTGAGAACTTCCTGACACTGTTCCTGTCCATCTGGGAGTTTGGGTTTTTCAGTCCATACAGTTTTTGTGTGGTCCAGCTCACCACAGCAGGAACTGTGAGGTGTATAAAAAATAAATGACGTAGCGCTGCTTACTCAAACATGTGCACATAAATATGAAGTGATGAAGTTACGTGACGGTGATGCAACGCGTCAGGCGTAGTTGGAGGCAGACTGCAATAGAAAGTGACACACGCGGAAGCGAGATATGGGATTGGAAATGCGTTTTGATGCCGTTTTTATGTGAGTGCAATATTCACAATAAATGATATTGGTTTAAAATTTAAAGTTTAATGCACCATATGAAGCATTATTTCTTGCATGTATGAACAAGTTGATACGGCTCATCAAAGATAGAAGGGGTGCTTCTGATATAAGCAGGCATTTATCTAAGAGGAGAAGTATATGGAGTATCCATAAGGAGTGGAGGAGAACAGCGGAAATATATTCATATATGTTATTTCCAAAAGAATTGGAAGTGAGAGTTCTGAAAGCACTTTTATATATAGTTGTTAAGATATATTGATTTTATTTTTTTGCACAGATTTTATATATTTATGTTCACATGTTTGAGTAAGCAGCACTACATCATTTATTTTTTATATTTTTTGCACAAATTATGTGGCAGCACATATAGATGTTAGCAGCAGCATACATTCAATGACACTTGTATGCACTTTAGTTAGTTGGCGCAGGAGTTTTTCACCATTTTGTTTCAGTAGGAACTGTGAGATGGTTTAACTCTGTACTATCTACCAAACATGGAAGGTTTTTGTGTACTGATCCCTTCATTGGGAGCCGAAAGACAGTTGATTGTCCTGATCACATCCCAATTGTTCTCTCTATGCTATAGCTGTCAATTTGTTGGCTGTTACTCTGCAGTAATGGTGCTCTTTGTTATGTAGGAGACGATGCCTCCGCCAACCCATACAGGCTTTTCCGGACACCATTTACCGTTTGTTGGGTTTACCTACACAAGTAACTGGTAAGATGTCAGCCATGTGAGTCCACTCCATGAACACATACAGTGTCATTTTTTGCTATGTCTCTCTCTCTTCCCCTTCCCTCGCTCTCTCCCCCCTCCCTCGCTCTCTCTCTCCCCTCCCTCGCTCTCTCTCCCTCCCCTCCCTCGCTCTCTCTCCCTCCCCTCCCTCGCTCTCTCTGTCTCCCTTCCCTCGCTCTCTCTCACCCTCGTTCTCTCTCTCCCCTCCCTCGCTCTCTCTCTCTCTCTCCCTCCTTCTCTCTCTCTCCCTCCCTCGTTCTCTATCTCTCCCCTCCCTCGTTCCTCGTTCGCTCGCTCTCTCCCCTCCCGCGTTCTCTCTCTCCCCTCCTGCGTTCTCTCTCTCTCCTCCCTCGTTCTCTCTCTCTCCCCTCCCTCGTTCTCTCTCTCGCCTCCCTCGTTACCTCTCTCTCGCCTCCCTCGTTCTCTCTTTCTCTCCCCTCCCTCGTTCTCCCTTTCTTTCCCCTCCCTCGTTCACTCTTTCTCTCCCCTCCCTCGTTCTCTCTTTCTCTCCCCTCCCTCGTTCTCTCTTTCTCTCCCCTCCCTCGTTCTCTCTCTCTCTCCCCTCCCTTGTTCTCTCTCTCCCCTCCCTTGTTCTCTCTCTCCCCTCCCTTGTTCTCTCTCTCCCCTACCTCGTTCTATCTCTCCCACCTCCCTCGTTCTCTCTCTCTCACCTCCCTCGTTCTCTCTCTCTCACCTCCCTCGTTCTCTTTCTCTCCCTCCCTCGTTCTCTCTCTCTCCCTTCCCCATTCTCCCGTTCTCTCTCTCTCTCTCTCCCCCTCCCTCGTTCTCTCTCTCTCCCCCTCCCTCGTTCTCTCTCTCTCTCTCTCCCCCTCCCTCGTTCTCTCTCTCCCCTCCCTTGTTCTCTCTCTCTCCCCTCCCTCGCTCTCTCTCTCTCCCCATCCTCGTTCCCTCTCTCTCCCCTCCTTCGTCCCCTCTCTCTCTCTCCCCTCCCTTGTTCTCTCTCTCCCCCCCTCTCTCTTTCCTTCCCTCTGTCTTTCTCACTCTCTCTCCCCTACATCTCTAACCTTTCTCCCCTTACATACTCTTTCTCCCTCTCTCTTTCTCTTCTCTCCTTCCTCTGCTTTCTCACCTTACTCACTCTCTCTGTCAATTTTTAATAATCTTTATTGGCATGATCAAATACATTTTAGCATTGCCGAAGTAATCAAGTTATTTAAGGATAGTTTTTGAAGTGGAGTTTTCTCTCCTCTTCTATAGAAGTGAAGTCCAGAATAAATGCAGAAAATCTGTAAATGAGGGTGGTTTCTCACGGAGTAGTTGGGCACTGTAGCAGGAAGGGGGCCTCATCCATCACACCACTCTCTTCTCCCTCCCCCCCCCAATCATCTTTCATTTTCCTCCATCTCTCACTTTGTTCCCTCTGTCCACCTCTCTCTATTTCTCCTCTCTGCCTTCCTTTTCTTTCTTTCTCCCTCTTCTCTCTCTCCCCCACTCTTCAATCTTTCTCTCTCTCCCCCACTACTCTCTTGCTCTCGCCTCCCTTTTTGCTTTTTCTATCTCCCTTCTCTCCTATTCTCCTCCTCCTCTCTCTCTCACATTCTTCTTTCTATCCTGCTTGCTGCCTCCTTCTTTCCCATTTTCTGTTTCTCTCCCTCATATCCACATGTATATCTGCTTCTCCCTTCCTTCCCTTCCTTTGCTCGTTCGCTCTCTCTCTCTCTCTGTTCTCCTCCCTCCCACTTTGGCTCTTGCACTTTCCTCTTCCTATTACTTTATACTCTCTGTATTTCAAAGGTAAAATTTAAGTCATGGAACTTTTCAGAGATACCTCTGCCTAGTATGAAAGATTTACAGGAGTGAAATCCTTGTGCTGTTACTCTTAGTACCCCTGCAGTGAGTTCAGTCATCTGTATTTCTGTATTCTACCTGCTTTGCTGTTACCTTTTACTTGAGCAAATGATCATATAGCATGCCCATTTTGCACACACACATTTCCATCAAACAAGACATTCATTGGCATCGGAACTGTCTGTTTGAGCTCCAGTTTATGTGTGGAGAGCTGCAAGATGTAGGGGAGAGCAGCAGGATACATCATGGCTCCATTTTTTTTTACATATTTATATTGTGTTGTGACTTTGTTGTGTTTCTTTAGTGTATTATCAGATAGGAGTTCACTGCGCCTGGCATCAGGGATTGCCAATACAGAGCTGGACGCCAATGTACAGCGCACTTTAGAAGACAGCCTAGCAACGGAGGCATACGAGAGGCGGATACGGCGCCTGGAACAGGAAAAGTTGGAGCTCAGCAGGAAGTTGCAAGGTGCTTTGCCATATCTGTGCAGCTACTCAAAAACATTACAAGTGTATGTCTGGGGAAAGATAAGGCAAAAAAGTATTGAGAAATACATACCCATTTCCCCAAGTTTTGGCTCTTTAAAACTCTGCAAGTTCCAAAAATTCTGTTGATCTGCCAGAAATCCAGTGAGATCCTAACTTGATGTAGTGGTCTAACAAATCTTCCACTGCTGCAGGGAGATCCCAAAGTGTTGACAGCCCTTTGCCCAGTTCACCCTTGCTGGAGTACAGAACACCTTCCACTTCTGCTTTGGAAATGAGGTAAAGCGGATGTTTTATAGTCCAGCAGGGAAGAACTCAGGCAGGACTGACACCTCTGCTTGAGATTTCAATGCAGCCGAAGTAGCCTTGTCAGCTTCATATAAGAATTTAGGAACTCGCTGAATTTTTGGCAGAATTCACTTATTGTTTTGGTACTGCTCACCCAATTTTTGTGGAAGGGACAGGAAACTAGGAAAATTCTACCAAATGTAGTAATAGACGGTAGTAAAAACCTGACGAAAGTTTTAAAATTTACCTTTTTAAAGTGTCTAAATAATGCAACATGTATGTACTTAAAGCTTTCCGTGCTTTGTGTATTTCTTCCAGATCTGTGCAGTAATCATGTTTGAAGCTTTGTCTCCATTCATAAACTTCCTGTAATAAAGACCTGTCACTGCTGCTCTCTCTCCTTGTACAGATTGACTGGTCTTGTATCCACCCCCTCCTGTAGTTTTCTGCAGGCAGCCTCTAGAGGGTGGAGCTGCTGGGTCCCTCCCACAGCTCTGCTCTCTGTACAGACTATGTCACTGTTAATTTTACAGATAGTATTTGCGTTTACAAAGGCGTTTGGGTCACGCAAAGTGGATTTATACTGATCAGCCATAATATCATGACCACTGACAGGTAAAGTGAATAAAATTGATTGTCTTGTTACAATGGCTTCTGAAAGTGGGTGGGATATATTAGGCAGCAAGTGAACATGCTGTCCCTAAAGTAGATGTTTGTTAAAAAAAAATGACCAAGAGTAAGGATTTGAACAACACTGACAAGGGCCAAATTGTGATGGCTAAACGACTGGGTCAAAGCAATTCCAAAACTGTGACTCCGGGATGTTTCTGGTCTGCAGTGGTCAGAATCTATCAAAAGTTGTCGAAGATAAATTGGTGAGCCGGTGACAGGGTCATGGGCGGCCAAGACACATTGATGTATGTGGGGAGCGAAGGTTTGCCCGTGTAGTCCAATCCAGTAGAAGGGCTACTATAGGTCAGGTTGTTAAAGAAGTTAATGCAGGGTCTGATAGAAATGTGTCAGAACGCACAGTGCATTGCAGTTTGTTGCAAATGGAGCCATGTAGTCGCGGACGTGTCAGGGTTCCCATGCTGACCTGTGTCCACAGCCAAAAGCTCCTGCAATGGGCAATTGAGCATCAGAACTGGACCATGGAGCAATGGAATAAGGTGGCCTGTTCTGATGAATCATTTTTATTTCATGTGGATGACAAAAAGGGGGACCTATTCACTTGTGGGTGGTCATAATGCAGCCTTTTTCAACCAGGGTGTCTAGGCCTTGAGGTTTCTTCAGGGAGGCCTTGACAAAATGTCTAAAAATTTACCAAAATTTGTAAACAAGCCAGCGGATGGAACCAGCCTGCCTTTTTGTTACACAAAGTCAGAGGCTTTCATTGTGCACCATTACGACCTTCTAGCCACCAGCGTTCTAACAACCAATGACATCATCAGTTGATAAGGAGGATGTTGGTTGACTGCACAGCATTCTTGTTTTTTTCCCTGCCCCTCCCGTCAGTGCTGGGTTCACAGTAGCTGAGTGATGGAGAAAAACTGAAGGAAAAAAGAAACATTGGAATACTAGTCAGTACCTGTGTGCAAAAGTGTATTTTCTTTGGAAGAATAAATCGGCGCTAAAGTTTGGTGTCCTACATGTGTGGATGTTGCTGCATTATATAAAACTATTAGAATTTTTTTTTTTTTTTTTTAATTTTAGAATGGGATGTCTTGGGACTGTCCATAATTTTAAAGGGTGCATTGACTGAAAAAAGGTTGGAAAACACTCTCGTAATGTTATGGCTGATCAGGGTATATCTTTTATGGCTTTTGAACATACGCACTGCTGTGTGTATAACACACGGATCGCGCTTTTTCAGCACTGTGTAATGGTTTGAACGGGCTCTAAGGCTTTTATCTTTTAATTTTAAGTAGGAAATCATCTAAATTGATGAGCTTGAGCCAAATGACCTTGACTGTTTTTCTTTTCCCAGAATCGACTCAGACTGTGCAAGCTCTTCAGTATCCAACTGTAGATGGACCGGTCACTGCAAATAAGGACTCAGAAATCAAATCATTGAAAGAAGAGATAGATAAGCTGAAGACACAAGGTACAAGCATCCTGTGTTTGTGGTCAGGCAGTGTGATATACAATGCAATTACATTGTTAGCAGATGTAAAGGAAGGTTGGAAGATAAAAGCACTACTCCACGGTTAAATGTTCAGGATTCAGGTTTTTTTGTGAACAAGATAATCCAATGCATTTTGGGGGCTACAGGGGTCCATGTTCTTCAAGACCTAAAAAATGGAACATAAAGATCTGGACTAGGATGAGAGATCAAAGAAATCATCTTTATTTTATTGCATTTGTAAACTCTTTTGTGCAGAATATTGCTTCAAAGATTGGCTTTGGTATCTCTAAAGGTTGTAAACCTCCAACATGAAATATGAACAAAGCATATACCTCTATAGTGTGTACTTGTCTCAATCAAGAGCACTAAGTGTCATTTATGTCTGCTGCCTCCTGCCTCTGTTATCTGCATGAGTCACTTCTGACAGGTTTTCCTGACACCAAGAGGTAAAAAGATGATGAGGAGTGAGCTCCAGCACACAGCCTGTGATTGACAGCTTCAGCTCTGTTTCTGTATGCTGTGTGATAAGGAGAGAGGGTGTTGCTTCCCTCCAATCAGCTCTCAGTGCTCTCCTTACTGAGTTCTGCAGAGTGTAACTTCAGCCTCCTGCCCCTTTGCTTTCTGAAAGCTCAAGTGAGGTATATAAATTCTGGACTTTGAATGGCTGTAGAGAAGGGAGTGCTGTAGAGAAACATGTACAACTTATATAGAGTTTTGTTTCATTTCTGTGTATCACCTGAGGCCAGTCACTGCACTGTGTATAGGTAAGGGTTTACAACCACTTTAAAATTGTTTACATGGTTTTACATCATAGCTCTGATCATCAATTTACATATATTTATGTTGCATCTCTTTTTTATTAAGTATTTGCGGACAGAGAAGGTTTGCAGTACAAATATAAATTGCATTTGATTAAGGAAATCCAGACTCGTACAACCCATACCGTATATAATGAGCAAAATACAATATAGAATGAGGTGAGACACAGATAACAGGTATAGTGTCAGAACCGGCAGGTCTTTAGAAGCCATTGGACTACATTGAAGTAACAGCAGATGAATAAGTATTAATTATAATTATTAAAAAAAAGGGGGGGTAATAAAGGGAGAGCGTGGGAGGAGCCTGGAAATGATGGGGACTTCAGACCTTAGCAGAGATAAAGGAGTCAAAGTCGGAAAAGTATCTGAAATGAGACCACACTGTCCACGTAAGCTTGTATGAGCCAGATTTGTCCTCATCCCATACGATCATCTGTTTCACGTACTCAGTCTTGTCCAACTCACTTATTCAGCCATCGATGAAGGCTCGGTCTGGTGCCAACGCCTGGCTATCACAGAATTAGCAGCTGTGATAAAGTGCCTACATTTCTTTTAATTTATCTATCGGACCCTGGCAACATGGACACTACATTAATGAGGTTCATTTGGGATTTTATCCTCCAACCAACTTGTTAGTGTAATATTTTATCCCAAAATGGGAGAATTTTCGGACAGGTGCCCCAAATATGGGTCATGGTGCCAGGCTCCTGCAAGCATGGCCTGCAGTCATCAAGGACAGATGGGTCAATTTGATACAGAAGTGTAGGGCAATGATACCACCTAGATAGGATCCGATAACTACGCTCATGTACTTGAGAAGATATATTGTAGATCAATTTACATATATTTGACGGCGGAGGACATTTTCCTCAGTATTCAAAAGTTATCCTTCTTCAGGTGATGTTTAGAGGGATCAGAAGTGCCCCCCACTGCCGGCACACAGTGGACACTAGCCTGCACTCTAAAACATCTTGTTTTAGTGTTCTGGTGTGGACAGGCACTAAGGGGTGTTATTCCTATAAGATTTGACTTATTCTACCAGAGCTGTCTTTAGTTTAATATATTCTATTGTGTGACTCTCATCACATTTGCATCTGCCACTTTCCATATGGCTAGTGTTGTAATTTTTTACAGCCTTTATGTGCACGCTTAACAAAGACTTTAAGATGGCTGCAGCCAGAGGAATGTACTGCTAGGATTTGTGTCAAGTCTCTGACCTGATTTAAGATACTCCATTGAGACAACATGATATGATTTATAGGAATGTAGCCCCTGCAAGAGTGGAATGTGGAAATGTCAGGAAATAGTGCGCATAGCTTGTGTTCTGCCCTCACTTACATCCCACCAGCGTTTGTAGCCATGAACTGTTGTACATGTCAGGGCTGGTTTTACACATCGGTGGACCCAGGGCAGATATCTCATGGGTGGGCTCCCATTCCAGCATTTTATTCCCACAAAACATAAAAGCTGCTAATACCAGAACTAACGAGTGCTTACAGGCTTTCTGGAACAAGTCCTATTATTCATAATGAAACTTCTAGTTTCTACAATGTCCATTTGCTGGGTAGGAGGTCAGTAGGATCATTGATGTGATTCATATGTTGCTGAGCAAGCAACCTGAGAGATCACCGTGATCACTGTAGTAGCTATGACTACTTACATCATGTATGATATGCTGGGCCAAGCTAAATCGATGTAAACATGCAATTAAGATCATATCTGAAGTTTCGCTTTCACCTTGGTGCCCTCAGCTTGATGTCCAAAACATGGCTCTGGTTTGGGTAGGTTTCATGAACTGGCATGCCCAGGCACTGCCCCCTTTGCCCAATATGTTAAATCTGACCAAAAAGAGAGTACAGTGTGTGTTGGCAATATTTGCACACTTCTCATAGGGTGATATGTCCCCAGAGTGCTCAGACTGGGGCTTTAATCCTAAAGTAACACTCAACGCTGGTTTTAATAAAAAATATTCTATGAAAGTATGTATCCTTAACGCAAAAGTATCATTTGTTACTCAGCCTCTTCCAATTATCCAAATGCTTTTGTTTTGCGGCTTTGATCTGACTTCCTCTTTTAGGGTGGCTCCTTTTGTTCTCCATAATACCACTGTAAGTAAGAGCATAGCCACACTTTCTTTCTCATTCCTGAGATGGACCATGCATTGTGGACTGTGGGATGTATAGTGTGCATAGTGCAGTGTACATGACCGCAACTAATGCATTCCACACAAGGGTGAAAGTAACGTGGAAAAGGAGAGGTTTGGGAACTCACAGAAATATTACAAGGCGGCAGAAAAACCCAGAAAGAAGAGATTTAAAGAAAAATAGAAAGCAGAGTTGTTAATTAGTGGATGTTTTTGGAGAATAAGGATCTTGTTTAATGCCACATTTTTAACTCCATCCTCAAGTAGATTTTATGTATAGCATTGTCTATTCAAAAAACTACTTTTTGTCAAATCATTTTTCCAGGACAGCAATAATAATATTTATATTTTTGTTTTGGATAGAGTAGGGAAGGAGTAAACACCTATCAGTTTATTTTATGTATTTATTTGTTTGTCTGTTTTTGGTGTCTGTATCACATTGGAGAGATTTCCATTCACTTTCTGACCTGTAGATACAAGAAATTAGGTAAATC